TGAAATTTAAGTAACGAACATCCGACGAATAATGTGCTCAGGATTTGAAAAAATCGGTACCTGCTCTATAGGTTTGACACCAAGAGCCAACAGATCTGCAACTATCGACAGTAGGGAAGAATAAATTCGGATATCACTCCAGTCAAGTATAGGGGAATTTAGCGTGGAACTTTAAAATTATCGATATGTCAATGAAATATGTTTTTGAGAATGATAATTTGGTAGATTTTATACCTGCATTTTCATTTGAATTTCATGACCCGAGAAATGTACCCATTCCGCCGTTACCTTCAATTTGTGTTCTGTAGTTTGTGATGTTTTTCTGGATATAAGCAGGACATAATTGCCTAGAGCTTTTTACAAAATTTTGTCTTTGCGCAAGAATTATGGTGGGTTGAAATGCTTACTATTTGTGCTCAACTTCCTGATATTCTATAAAGATCCTAGTGGATAAAATCGAAAAATCGCTGGCACTCTGTGGACTTTGTTTTTAGCATGCTGCAAGAGGTTCATTTGGAAATAATAAAAATGAAACGTAGGCTGTCAAGCGCAAATCGGTTTTTGGGCGAAATTCATCTACTGTTTCGTCCTGCCAGTCCAAGCGACGCGACGGTGCGTTCCGACTAAGAAAAATGTATTCAAATAATTTTATGTTTCCTAAAATAAATTCACGAACTGAAATTCAAATTTGTTTATTCATGTCAATAAACACAATTAAACGAGGGTCATAAAAATATCTTATTCGGTCAAAATAAGAGGAAACTGTTAGGTAGTTTTTGCAAAGCAATAAACAGGTAGGCTTATACCTGGATTAAGTACATGTCTTGTCTACTCTGGATGGAGGTGATGCTGCCAGAAATGGCTGTGTGCGATCAATAAACAAACCACAAGATTGAACTGCCGTGTCCAATGATTTTTGTGTTGCCTTTTTTTATTGCCTTACTAGAAAACTCTGTTGGGTATATGATGGAGTTTACTAGAACTGTACAGCTTGCTGTCTGCCTTCTCCTACAAACTTCACCAAATCGAGACGCTGTTAACCTTATCCTCCGATGAAGACGCCACAAAGTACAGTCCTGTGATTTGGTGACTTGTTCGATCTGCAAAATCTCGTCGTCACTTTTACTAAGTTTCCCTAAAAATTCTTGCTTAGCAACCTCCAAATCAATGTCGTTCATGTCAGGTTTTTGACAGAATTCGCCATAAAACTATTTATTTTCTTTGGAACTGGTATCCGAATCATTAGTTATTTTTATATCAGCTTTTTTTGGTCTGAGTTTCTTTTCAAGATTCTTGCGTTTGAGTCTTTGTTCCATCTCAGTGATAAGCGTGGTTGGACTAAGCTTAGAACGCAAATTTATTTCGACCACATAGACAGGCCGCTCGGTATTGTGGCTCAGTACTGCTGCAGCACATCTTCCATGGTATGACCTCTTCTTGCAATAATTTATTCGCTTACTCCAATGTATTTTGCGATTATAGAGTTGAACTGCTCCACACTATTGTTGCCCTCATCATGAATTAAACTCACTGCATTCGTAATTAAAATTGTCGCATATGACCTTTTATTGTCCATTTTATCAACCTTGATAAAAAAGGCACTCAAGAACAATCACACCAACAAGAGGCCAGCACAACAATTCAACAACACAATATCGACGAACAGTAACAAGGGTAACAATACTAAATGATCACTTGCTGAGTACCAAAATAGGAAACGATTTACAGGCTAGATCGCTAATCGAAATCCGACTCTGTTGTTATAAAAATTTACCTCGGTACGCACCCGCAGTCATCCTTTTCTCTTTTAAAGTAGCGCCGACGAGTCTAAGCCCAGCCCACCCTCGTTTCCTTTTCACCCCCCCGTTACCTCAGCAGATGGTGCTCGTGATTGTAGGAGCCCCGTTAAGGTGCATCACTCTTACGGTGAGAGATATTCAGCTACTGAATAGTAGCATTTTTCCATTAGCAGATTTATCAGCTCTTTCTTGAACCTATTTCGGCTTTTGGTATCTTTTAGCACTGATGGCAACTTATTGAATACCTTGGTGTAGGCTTAGGCTTAGACATTCTTGACAGAAAAGTAGTCAGTATATCAGTCAATAATGTAGTCTAAGGATGAATAATGTATGCAAGAAAAATTTCTAGTTTGACTATACCTCATGCTTCTGAAAATCTATAGGGCGTATCGGATGCTTTAACTTCACCAAGAATAGCATGGCAAGCTGGTAAGAGGTATTGATTCCGCAGACGTTTGTAGGTATTTTGTGCAAGAACTTATCATCTATCCGCATCACAAAGTATGTTATTTGATAGATGATAGGAAGTTGTCAATGTTGGTAACACAACTGAAATTATATGAAAAATTCTAGCTTATTACAGTATCCGGAATTGGTAAATACTTGGTACAAATTGACTTTAGCAATTGTCAAAACTCAATCGTGTACACTACCTTAAATGACCGTACTATATCTATGTACACACGCAAGTTTATTGCGACGAGATTTCATCGCAGTGGCATTTCGCTTTAGTGCATCCATCGTTGAAAGGCCGCCAGTAGACAAAAAGGACGAAAAGATAAAAAAGAGTAACCGGAAGGCGAATCATAAAATACGGCGGTAGTGGTAAATCTTATTAGCTGGATCTTCTACGGGTGGCGTTTATGACGTGCAGATAGGATATCTGGAATTCTTTTAAAGCCAGTCTGAAGATTCACGCCGTGACATTGAGTTAGCCGAAAAAGTATGTTCAGTCGAGCCCCTAGTACAGGCTGCTATTTGTAGTACTTGGATATATAATTTATAGAGGACATCCTTATGATATTTTGACAGTACGTTCGTAAAATGGCAAGGTTGGGCTTTGTAGCTTTTGAGAAGCGATCTTGTAGCAGCAGTAGAAGTAGTGTTGTGAGGGGCGAAGTCTAGCAAGTAGGCCACCTTTAGCCCACATTTAAACCATCCTGATTTTCCAATGGAGGTCAGTATGTTCGTTGCATTGCTGCATGGTGCTCCTCCTAGCACAGGAGGCAAATAGAATCGCTTTTCACCTTTAGATGGCAGCAGCGGTGGCCGCAGTAGTAGACTCTTCGGTCTCCTGATCAGTTGCCGTGCGCTGTGCGGGGTCGAATCCCGTCCCAGGAGGAATTTTTCTCTTGGCTATGTATGTTGTGATTGTCCGTAGGTGGTAGACGGTCTCTGACTGTCGAACGCGGAGGTACCACCCGGCGGATCTCGTAGGCAGGGCCAGAATGTGTGCATGTTGCATGCACACGTCTTCATTCGCCAGAGTTCGTGTGGCGTTCCCCCTTTCCCCTGTATCCCCTATAGCCCTACGGTACCCCATGGGTGTTTAGGCCTTAGGCATTCGTGGTAGTTGGAGTATAAAAAAAAGAAAGGAAAATCGACTGTTCAATATACAGTGGCTGGTGAGAACCTCCTACCAAAGGATTAGCGACTTTCTAACTTTGTCCAATAGAAAGCGTGTTCGACATTTGTCGAGGTCGGTTACGAACTTGTACACCTGACTGGACATGTCTCTCTCGCCAAACTTTTCTCAGGTCAGTATATGCCTATCCGTTCAGTCTGATGACCTGGCGCCTGCTCAAGCCCAACCTGGGCTCGGGAACAATGCAGGAACCCTTGGCTCCCAGACTAGCCGGATCATCAGTTCTCATTACCCGGTACCCCACTATGTCAGAGAACCCAAATCAGGATCGCGTGTTTGAGCCGTGCTAAAATCTGAAGATCAGTAGTAAATTCCTAAACTGGAAGTGAAGCTGTGGCATCTGTCATCAGGTACTGGTGCATAGATGACGTCTGGGATGACTACGCATAAGTTATTTTGTAAATGTGCTTTACTCAACCATAAGAGATGAACGTATGGATGAATCGGATATAACTAATTTCAAGATCCACTCTCCTAGCAAAGTAAAGCATGGTTATGGGTTACAACACCTTTAACGTACAACATGAGGATACAAAATATTGGATACCTGTATCTTCAGCCTGTGTTTTCCCGTAGATGGTCTCCGAAACTGTGCCACCAGCAAGCTAAAACCGTTTCTTTTAGATTTAGGCATATATTTGTATACCGAGCCACTACGACACTAAAAGGAGCTCAAGGACACCCTGCCTATAGAGGTAGAGTACTCCACAATCCCGACACCCTAAGAACAACGGAGTGGCGGTCGTATCGGCCAGCTCTGAATGTTCATAGGTCGACAGGGTTGAGATGGAAAGAAGAATCTGGCGGGTCCTGAAACCGTCTGTTAGAGAAGTGTCGACGGTCAGTCGGACAGCCCTTGTCTTAACAGCACCTAGTATGGATAGTATAGTCGGGGAGACATCACCTTAAACATGTGACTAATACTAGAGGTATTGTCTTAAAGTGGCCCTTATACAGAGTGAGAAAGTCATGCGGAGAAAACGCCGTCTTAGCCCTAAACAAACGACCCAACTTTTTCCCAGTGGAGGTCGCGACCGACGATATGTTCTTGGTGTTCTGGACTCCAACCGGCCAAAGCTAATAGCTCAGTGGAACAAAATCGACCATCCATCGAAACCAGTTGTACGCTAGGGCGCTTCTGGTTAGTCAAGGTACAAACAGTAATGTTTAACAATACATTAAACTAGTAGTAAGTTGTTACTAGTCTCCTCTCCAAATCAGCGGCAGAGATCGCCTCAGCATTCTAAATGCCTGCATGTAAAGTGCTATCGTCAGTAAAGCTACGGATCGGACTAATCGTCCATTTTTTCGCTTTTCATTGTCTTCACGCTCACATTTCGATCCTTTTCTAGCATCGATATCTATATAAGCATCAATTTATTTATTACATAATGGTTAGATTAAAAACTAAGTTTGTACCATTAGTTATTCATTGTTATTGGCAATAAAATGCATTAAGCATCTGGCGCAATAAGAAGCGTTAATATACGAGCAGGATTTAAATATTACCAGATAAGTGAACGCCTCTCGGTGTGTGTCGGTTAATAAATATTCACACGTTTAGCGAATTTATGGCCTGGCACTCTCCTCTCCAGTCTTGCACTCTGTGTGTGTACAACACCGCTTATTGTGACGATGCTATGCAGTCCGAAGAGTGTACTCGACAATTAAATAGTTTTACTTCTTTGTGTAGGCAGGTAATTAATTCAACTTGATTTATCTGCCTCTCCAGAGAAGATTCATCAGAATGTCTTGTAAATAATGGCAAATGAACATTAGATATACAGGGAGACTTTGAAGTTGAGTCATTAATTTTCAGATAATGATTGTAGAAGGAAGATAAACCAAAATATGTGTGTAAAAATAAAAAAAAATTAAAAAAAATTGTTTACCTTGTTTTATAAAGTATCCTCCCGACAAGTATTTCAGTGCGGACCTGTATTTGATCGTGAGGTCTTGGAGCACCGGCATGCCGTCACCTGATTCACGAGCCCGTTGTACTACATTAACAAAGGCACGAGGGGTTGGTTGCACTCGATTGGGAAACCGATCCGCATAAACATGTGTCATTTTTTATTTCGTTTGAGCCACGCAACAGACACCACTATTCACCCACGCGTTACCGACTGACACTGACTGTATACAAATGAATAAAATAATTGTAAAAACATCGTTCCAAATTCTTTCGCTTTTTTGTTTCCGATGCGATGAACCGATAAGGCGGATTATATCCGTTGTCGCCAAACACGAGCACATAATATTATTATTGAGACAGGGCGGTACTCAAACTTCCAAAGGGCTATAACTTTGTTACTTTAATTTTACCAGAAAAATGGTAAAGGAAAAAAACATTTCTTTTGATCAGATCTACTCACTGTTAAAATAAATGACTCAACTTCGAAGTCTTCTCTTTATTATTGTGTCTTGGCGAAAATTCTGTCAACTCACTCCTATTGGATTGTTTGAGGTCAAAATAAAAAAAAAATGGCGTCAAGTATATTAACTCATGCATTTCTATTGATATTTAACATTTTGGGTAGCTACATAAAAATTTAGGGGTATTAGTGATAAGTAAAATACAAGGTATTATAATTATTGAACTCTCTAAACATTGAGCTTTAAAGTAGCAAAAATACAGGAAGACGACATTTTGATTTAATTAAAAAAAATTCCAGCTATTCGAGAAACGTGGTTTGGGCAGGCACTCACGTTTTTCGTCTATAACCTCTAAAACTGGTCGCAAAAAGCAATTTTATTCTTGCTATACATGGTGTCCCAATTAAATGAAAAGGAGTTATAGGAAATGTTATTTCCAATCAGAAAAAACATATGTCATATTCGGATTGTGTACAGTTTTTGAATCATCGACATTTTTAAGACTACAGAAAATCGATACTTTTGAGACTGTAATCTTTTTTCCAAGATTTTTTCTTGTTATTTCTCAAGCAGCTTTACAGGATATGTTCCCAAGTAATGTATATTTGAAACAAATCCACCACTAAAAAATTAGATCAGTTAATGTAGGCATAGCTAATGTAGGCTTAGGCTATAGGCAAATTCAAGTTATAGAGAGGATAAGGATTATTCGTTTATAGAGTTATTACTTCGTCGGCACTGGACCAATTCTTTAATCCTCCATATCGTTTGTGCAATCTGTGTAGCACACTGTCATCAATCGGATTTTGATTTATCTCTATAAATACAAGTCGAATAAATATAACGTTGTCCAGTGACTCGCTTGAATGCCCTCAGAGCACAGAGTCATTCCCGTGGATATGATAATCCCATTGGCAGCAGCACCTGCAATATATCCATGATGTATCACCGTCATATTTCTGGAATCGACGGGCGGCCGACGGCCCCGACACCACCGTGGTCTCAAAACAAGAGGAACAAAACTGTACGTTTTGACAAATAGCCCGGAAAGGAAGGCTGAGTATCTTCATTCTCGGTCGCACATACCGACAGACCGCATGCGATCTCACCGAGATCGAATCGACCAGTCGGTAGTCGTTAGCCGTGTTGCTAAATGATCGACGATGGTGTCGCGGGTTTGTTCGCGGCACGGAACCACCACCGAGAGCCAGTGGTAGCGAAGAGAAAGCCTCATTCAGGTGGATTAAAATGCAGAAAACAAAATGCCAACAAGGGTTTCAAGGACAAATATACAAATGAAGTTCTAGTACAATTTTCCATGGAATGACAAACAAAACGCCGTAGGTTTTGTAAGAAGCATTAGTGGACCATTTGGACTTTCCACGAAAAAAGTTTCATCTGTACACGGTAGCCTCATATTTGATAACTGATTATAATAGCTCTTGATAAGTACTTATATACTGTATACATTTTATTACACTCCGTTCATAATGATAGTTTATATAGATAATATCGCGCCCACCTCGTATGTGCATATCGTGTCTCCGGCGCGCGGCAAATGCGACCGATAGGTCCCGATTCGTTGGCTGAAAATATCATCTCAAGCTGTGATGGTTTTCCACTACCATGAATAGAGGTCATGGCCATCGTAGCATTGATTCTATGGTCGTGATTAATATAATTGTGACTATTTTGAACCTTGGCTAACATAACTTCAAATTTGTTTATTCTGTAGTGTTTTATAATGTAAATCATTACTTCAAATATTGAACCACGGTGATATGCTCGAAAAAATCCAAGAAATGCACAAACATATGTGTTAATAGATAAAAGCTAAAAAACATCACATCTTTCGTAGTATATATTATGGAGTGTCTAAACCAGCAATATTTAGCTATAACTATGGTAACTATACCCCAGCCATCATGGCTGTATTAGAGCATATGGCCCGGCTATATATCTCAGCTATATCCGCTAAATCTCGGCAATATCCTGACAGTATTAGCTGCAATGTGTGGACAGACTTCTCTTCAGAAGGGTTACAAAATCAGGCACGAATGACTGAAGAAATTATAGCAGCTTACATTACCTACAAATAGGATTTGGATAGTTATATAGTAGGAAATGTAGCAAAACAGCCGGGGCATCCAAAAATATTGCAGCTAGATCAAATACAAATGCAAAAAAATAATTACACGTGAAATCATGCCTATAAATAAGATACTTTTAACATAGAAGATAGCGCAAGTCTTACAGGCGACGGCGCATGATGTTCCTTTATATTTGTTTAAATTTATACTTTACCAGAGTTATGTAGTGATTGCTTTTATATTATTTTTTAAATTGCTTGAAAATAAAAATGACTTATAAGTATCACGGAGGAGCTGCTGCCACTTAAACATAAAATAATTCAGAAGGTTCGGAAGCTACACTTATCAAGAATCAATACTGGCGACCTTGTCTCAAAACAGGAGTAAAAAGCATGTATGGAACTCAAATTATCATAAGTTATAGTACTCTGTGGATGTAATGAAGGAGATAAAGAAGAACAGTAGATCAGTACTGTGCCTCGAGAGGTGTATTATCAAAAGCAGTGCCAGTAGTATGTAAATGTCCAAAAAATGAACTTGAACCCCACTCAAACTAGCTGAAGATCAGAAGTACACGTAGGAAGTAGTAGTAGTGGGGAGGCAGCCTTTGACCCTCATTGCCGACAACGTTGTATCAACACACTACTTACTCCATAAGCTATCTCCTTGAATAAGCTAGCTACAGCAATGCGAGGTACCTGTTGATCTTGCACCGACCTGGTGCGTACTATATGAGACGAACTCAACGTCCGTGGCTCGAAATCAATTACCGAGGTGGAGATTCGAACCCGCGAACCTTTGATTCCATGGATTAGCAGTTCAAGGCGCTAAGCACCCAGCCACTCAACCCCTTAATGCACGAAGGAAGTAACTACACAGTTCCTTCAAGATTACGACGTTTGCTGGGATTTGATGAGTATGCTAAGAAAATTGATTGTTAGCTTGGAAAAAAACTACAAAAATTGAGCTGATTAATGTATAACTTGTCAAAAAGAAAACAGGATACAATTTTTTTCGAAATATTCTCTTATCAAAAAATTGCTTTACGTCCAGAAATGATCAGAAGAACATTAAAATACTAAGATGTGCCCAATCTGAAATTCTTCTTTTTTTGTTCACAACTCTGATGCCATTGAACATATTTTTAAAGCCATGCAGGCTTTAGCCTCTCTGTTCTTGGGCATGGTAGCAAGATAATGTTTTTCAAAATCCGAGTTCTTTCTGGCTTACGCATGGGCCAAGGATTACTGGACTGGCCCGATATAGACACCACAAACAGAAGAACGTCCAAAAGAACCTAGTGTCTCAGTTTCGATTTTTTTTCGCTAGTTGACATCGATTTCAAATTTTCCGGCAATTACAATACTTCCTCGCTCATATTATAATATGTATATAATACAACCAGGATTAGAGCTTGGACGGTCTGTGCCACTGGGCATAGAATAATCCAGCTGTGGCTTTGATTGATATACCAGCAACGCATTCTAATGTACTTATAGGTATAGAGAAATTGATTTATCGTTTCCAAGAAGTAGCAGTGATAGATTGCCTGGCAGAATGGTGTACTTTATAAGTTTGCCGCGTAAAGTATTCAATCTGCCGTATTGATCAGTTTTAGATAGCTGTGAAACCAATTTAAATCAGATATTGAGATAGCTATTGACGAATCAGCATATATAAAGTAGTATTATCTATGTCAGGTCCTTGGCGTTGGAAATGCAAACTTTGAAAATATCTAATTGCCTGACAAGGTACCAACTGAATTGTTCCATTTTAAGTGAGAGGAAGGTTCAAATATTGATAGTTTGAGTCTTCCTTCTGTCAATATAAGAGCCTTTTTGCAGTACTACGTCGATTACTTTAGTATTCTAGAAGAATAGCTACATGAGGAGCTATACGCACGTTTTCAAATATCTCGACACATAGAACTCACATGCCAAACTATCATAATTAAATCAACAAAATTCAATCTGAAATGTCATTTATTATTTATCTAGGTGCTTTTTTACTGTCATTATTTGTCTAAAGTGAGAAAAGGTTCTTTTCATTTCAACCTCTAATTATAAGTAGCAGCAGCATGCATCACTTCATGTCTTGGGTCCTAACATCACGTCGCGGGTCATAAACACACTAATTAAGCCCTAGATACATGAATTATTATTAGACAAGTTACTGTATGAGCTTCTCTCAAGGATATGTTTGCCCCATGCCAGAGTAATTTTTATGTATCGATCGGTTTCCACAAAAATAAATTGTTTGAGGATGGCTCAGAAATAAATACTTTCATGGATCAATATCGGAGACTATAATTTTAAAATAGAGTTAGACTCCGTGCCTGTATTAACGGCTAAATGCCAACAACTAAGTTCGAGACCAAGCTCCTACATTTTTACATTCCGCTAACAACGAAACACCCGCTTTTTTGTTTTCGAAAAATCCCCCATAACAAACAAAAGCTGTCCGCGTGACGCATTTGCATTCGCACAAAGTATCTTGCGCCCTATTAAATTTCAAAGCTGTTCGTTGCACATAGTCGTGGTGTTGTTTCCGCATAACCATGGCGGCCTAGCGTTGGCAGCACTGCGGCGCGTAGAAAAAAGCGGGCGCGAAACTGGTCTAATTTATAGTTGAAATTCCCATTGTCTAGGTGGAGAGGCTCTCTTCGCATTGGTGTGAGTCCGACACTCGAATTTACATCTGTACGGGCAACTAGTTGGATGGGCACGGTGATGCAGGAAAAGTAGACAAAAGGGTTGTTGAGGTTTTATAATAATAGTCTTTATTACTATAAACTACAAAAGGCGAAATTTAGCTCAAAGCTGCTCTTACAGTTAACCTTCAGTAGCTGTTGTACACTAAACTATATATTTGTATCTCATGTTTTTATACATGGTGGCCGTTATGGAACTGACTGGTTTGTATCTTGAATATTTGTGAAATGAAATAAAATACGTCCATCTTTTCATCTTATCTGTTATTGAAACTGAGAAATTATGTATGAAAAATAATATCAGACAAGTGTCCGCTTCTAGAAGCCGCCGTCTTG